CTTCCTTCCTTCCTTCCTTCCTTCCTTCCTTCCTTCCTTCCTTCCTTTCTCACCTCAAGATACTCACAACGTCCAGTCCATGATGAGAATTCGCCTCCAGTATGAGAAGGTTTGTCAGGAGTGTTTGGAAAAACTCCAAGAAAGCAAGGTGAGTTTTAAAATAGGTGCGGGCATAAGGTGTTTCCTAAGCGTGGCTGATCTTATCCCTTTTTTAAAAAAAAAGAAAGAAAGAAAATGTGCATAATAAGATCTTTTATTCACCCGAAGGGAAGCTGTTTTCCCCATGGGATTTTTAGAGAGAGAGAAAACTGTCTACTTCCGTTGCTATACAGGTAGTTCTCAATCCACAGCCACAACTGAGCCCAATTTTTGTTTTGTTTTTTGGTTGCAAAGTGAGATTAAGTGAATTTTAGCACATTTGACATGGTCGTTCAGCGAATCTGGCTTGACTTCGCTGGTCAGAAGGTCGTAAAAAGGGGATCGTATGACCCCAGGGACGCTGCGGCCGTCATAAAAATGAGTCAGTTGCCAAGCCTCTGAATTTGGGGATGCTGCAAAAGTCATAAGTGTGAAAAAGGGTCCTAAAGTCACTTTTTTTCATTGACGTTGTGACTTCGAATGGCCCACAAACTGTTTCTAAGTCAAGGACTGCCTGTACCTTCCATCAAAAACTATTGACTTCCAATGAAAGTGAATGTAAGAAAATGATCATTCTTCCTTTGAGTAAGTGTAAACTGTGGTTTTTTTTCCCTCCTGGATTCCAGGCGTGGCATGGAAATGGTGCTTAGAAATTGCAGGCCAGCAATTCAATTCTTTTTCTTTCTTTCTATTTTTTTTCCCCTCCCTCTTTAGCAAAATCTGATCGACATGAAGATTTGCACCCCCAAAGAAGCCGAGAAGATTGTAAACCCCAATTTCTATCAGTTAATCGGGGAGCTGCAGCTTCAATTTGAAGTCAAGATAGAGAAGATGGATGTAGGTGTAGCCCTCCCATCCGTGGGACAGTTTTTTTCCTCCCTGGGGTTCCACCCAAGCCTTCCCTGGTCAGGAGTGTCCCTTTTCCCATCTCCTCCACGGATCTTTTCTCATTCTTCCCGATTGTTTCCAGGCTGACTTGGAATACTTGGTTAAAAACAGCGAAATCAACTGCAGGCACCTCTATCAGTACTTCCAAGATGTCCTGGCCGTCTTCGACGCCCACCAGCAGAAACTCAGCCAACAGGATAATGAACTTCAGAAAGCTTTAAACGATTGTCGTTGCAAGCACGAAAACATGAACAAGGTCAGAGCGCTGGTCCCCGTTTGGGGATGGTGGTTTGTCTGGGAGGAGACTGCAAAAAAATAATAATAATTGAGAAATTGGATCCTGGGTATAGCTCTGGAGAGCTCCCTTCTAGCACTGATGATGTTACGTAGTTGGGTCATGAAATGTCTGCAATAAAAGAACCAAAGTCAGAGAGCACCAAGAACCCCATCCTCTCCCTCTCCCTTCTCCTCCTCCTCCTCTCTGCAAACCCCACTCCTCTCCCCCCTCCCCCAGTGTCAAAGCAGCTTAAAAGAACATTTTGTTTGCAGGCTGGTTCTTAACAATGAGCTCCCTCCATGCATCAGCTAAAATCATTCTAATATGCAACTGGGTTTTTTTTTTAAATATATGTATGTATGTATGTATGTATGTATGTATGTATGTATATATATATATATGTATGTATGTATGTATGTATATGTATGTATGTATGTATGCATGCATGCATGTATGTGTATGTGTATGTGTATATATATATGTATATATATATATGTATATATATATGTATATATATGTATATATATGCATATATATATATATATATATATATATACACACACAAAACCTCTCTTTGTTTTCGACACGCAACTAGCTAAGGGAAATGAATCTGGACATAGCAGTGGACAAACTCAGGATGCAAAGCACCGATGAAAAACTGAAAGCTTACCTCGAGAAGGTTTATGCTGCCTTGGACATCATTCGCAATGGGTACGCGAAGGACTGCCTAAAGTTGTTTTGAGGGGTTTGGACCCATTTGATGAAGAAAATCCCTGCTTTCAGTTTAGTTTAGTTTACTTTGTTATCATCGCACCTCGTACAACGAAATTAAGTGCCATCTTCAGTGTACATTATGACTCTGAAAATAAACACAAACACACAACCTTCACATTCTGTACACGGAATGGAAAACCCCTGATATTGCATTAATATTACACTATACAGTAGAACTCAGTAGAGTTACTGCCCTGGGATAGAAGCTGTTCTTCAGCCTATTTATCCTTGTTTTTATTGTCCTGTACCGTCTGCCAGATGGTAATAGTTCAAAAAAGGGGGAGCCCAGGATGAGATGGATCTTTAAGGATGTTTTGAACCTTCTTAAGGCATCGGGAGCTATAAAGCTCTTCCAAAGAGGGGAGAAGGCAACCAATGATCTTCTGGGCAATGACATTAACCCTCTGGGGCGCTTTCCTATCTGCCCCTGTGCAATTGGCAAACCATACAGAGGTGCAGTAAGTTAAGATACTCTCTGTGGTGCAGCGGGAGAAGGTCACCAGCAGTTTTCCATTCAGTTGTTGTTTTCTGAGAAGTCTCAGGTAGTATAATAATAATATAATAAATTTATAATAATTTGGGGGGGGGCGCTCATCCTCCCACTAGAATGTTAACTGCTGCAGTTTGGAGAAAGGAGGATGGAAAGGTTCAAATCCCACTGTTTTCCTTTTGTCAAGGTACACCGTCTTCCATCAAGACCTCTTGTCTAAAGTGATAGCTTACCCACGCCATGTTCGGCATGAGCTTCTTTCCTACAGCGCGGCCATCAGCCGGTATTTTTACGTCCTGGGCAGCTACAAAGGGGTAGGCAGAAAAAAAACAAGATCGCTTAATACAACATGCATGAAGCTTAGCTGGCACTCAGAGACGCCTGTCAAACAGCCGCCGGTGGTATTCAGAGCCTGAATTCCCAGTCCTTCTGAATTGTGGTTAGAGGGCAGAATGAGCAGAATGCAGAGTAACAAAAAGTTGGGCTTAAAAGTTGGCTGCAATACCAGCATCTTGCGCATAAGTGAGGGGAAGTCTTACGTTGGAACAGATGGTGATTGGGGCATGGGATGCGATGATGGGTGCAGAGGATGGATTTTGTAGTTTTTACTTACTGCAAGGAAGCCCGGAACTGTCAGGTTTGGGATTCCCACAGTTGTGCCAGTTTACTATCCAAATAAAAAAAAGAACCTTTGAGAAGATGCCTGTCTCGGAGTTATTGGTTGGAGTGGGGGTTTTCTGGAAGGCTGGCACTCTTCTTATACCCCTGGGGATTAGGAGGAGTGCCTGCTTGAGCTGCTTCCAGATTTTATTTTGTTCTGGACCTTAGAAAAGAAGGCGCTTTGACTCTTCTCTCTAGACTTTTAGCCTTCCCGTGGCATGAATCTCCAGATCTGTTCCATCTAACAAATACGTTTTAGCTGCCAATCCAAACCACAACCACAAAAATACAAGTGAAGCCCTGCTTTGCCACCCCGGTCTGAACAAGCCATGCCAGTCTCTTTATTTGGGGTGTAGCTTCTTATCCTGGTTAGATTGCTTCTTAATACAGTGGATTTGACCCATCTTTCAGCAATGCTTGGTGGACAGTTCATGGGCAGTTTATTTAAAGCCAGGATGGACCTTGTGTTAATTGTTCCTTATGCCGATGTTGCGGGAAATGGTTGTGGGTTTTTGTTTTTTGTTTTTCCTCTCCCCTATTTTTCTCCATTTTTTATTTTTATTTTAGAAGACCTTAAAGAAATCGGGAGGCACAGATGAAGGAAGAGGGGAAGATGGAGGTAAGGATTACATCCCATGAAGTCCTTTTTTTTTTCAAATACGGCTAGTTCCTCCCCAATTTCTATCCAAGTTGGTTGTTAAGTAATTTTTTTAATAAACTTTGTTAGTCTTTTATATCTTTAAAAACCGAAGCAAAAAATATACATATTATGACATTAACAGTATCTGACATCTATCTCATAAACTTCTATTTTGTGCTTATTTACAAATATATACAATTTATGCGAATGTAAACCTTTATAGGTTGCTTCTCATTAATTCTTTCATCTCCCATTTGTCTTAATTCAATCCAATCATAGCCATTTCCTCCCCATATTTTATAATATTCAGAGTCCTCTTTCTCATAACATCAGGGTTAATCTGTCCAACTTGGAAGGTGCCGGACTGGAATATATTTTGTTGCCTCGTTTTGAACAGAAGCAACCGAGGAGTCCAAAGAGGCAGAAGAAACAGAAGAGAGCGAGGAAGAGCTGCTTCTGGAAGAGGGGGATGCTGAGGGACCTGATCGTACCGAAGAGGAGGAAGGGGAAGAAATGGAGGCCTCTCCTCGCCGGAGCGGCAAGATCAGCGTCAGTGGAGACGACGTAGAAAGAGCAGCGGAAGAGAAAGTCTTGGGCCCCAGGGCTCAAGGCAGCCCTGAGCCAGACTTGGTGAGCTAGGAATCTCCTTGAGGATCAGGCAACATCCACGCTTCCTTGTGCATGGATTACAAGGAGCTTTTCCCGTCCCGTCGATCGATTCCTTTCTGTCCCGCCTCGGTTATCTGTACAATCCAGCACACCTCCTGCCTTCTGTTTTCCCTACAACAACAACCCTGTGAGGTGGGTTGGGCTGTGAGAGAGAGAGAGAGAGGGACTGGCCAAAAGTTGGCTTTTATGGCTAAGGCAAGACTAGAATTCACCGTCTCCTGGGGATTGGCCCAAAGTCACCCAGTTGACTCATGACTTAAG